TTCTCATCGAACAACATCCCGAGATAAGTAACATCAGTGGACCACTCGACCCTTGTACCATCCATTATTACGGTATAGGAGGGAGACGGTTTAAGTTTTAATGATTGTCTGTGAAGGAACATGATCGCTTGGGTTTTCGAGGCGTTGATTTTGATTTTCCACGTGGTGGCATAATCAGTAAAGGTGTCAAGGCATCGTTGGAGCTTGTTCGTAATTTCACGAGGCATCCTACCCTTGACGGCTATCGCGGTGTCATCTGCAAACAGAAAGAACACGCAACCGTCTCCTAGAGGAGGGATGTCCGACGTGTAGATGCTGTAAAGCAGTGGTCCCAGCAGACTCCCTTGCGGAACACCTGCTGGGATCGGAAATTGTCCCGAAAGGGAACTATTCAACGACACCCTGAACGACCTTTGCTGGAGATAGTTACGGGTGATTTTCACAAGGTATGGTGGAAAGTTGGAGTTACAAAGCTTGTATATAAGTCCGTCGTGCCAGACATTGTCAAACGCCTTTTCGACGTCTAACAAGGCCATGGCTGTGGACTTGGATACAGCTTTGTTACTTCGGATGTTATTCATCACCCGCACTAGCTGATGATTGGTGGAATGCCCCTTGCGGAACCCGAACTGTTCCGGAAGAAGAATGTCATGTTCCTCCACAAACTTGTTTAGTCGGCTGAGGATCAATTTTTCGAACAGCTTGCTCAGCGCTGAGAGCAGGCTAATCGGTCTGTAGCTTGACGGTAGTGAAGGGTCTTTCCCAGGTTTGCGGATCGGGATGATTTTTGCCCCCTTCCAGATGCTTGGAAAGTAGTGCAGCTCCAAGCATCTGTTGAGGATGGCAGCCAGCAGCGAGTGCACCCTCGCGCTGAGATTTTTCAACTCTAGGTTGAATATTCCGTCAAACCCGGGAGCCTTCATGTTCGTACTGTGTTTCAGCGCTGAGCAAATTTGTTCCTCTGTAATCCGTTCTTCTGGAGGGACGGCACAAGGGGAGGCATCTAACGTCTGGACGCACTGCACAACCTGGTTCTCGAGTGGACTTGGGATTGTAGAGCCAAGCAAATGCGACTGGGCAATGTGCTCCCCAATTGCATTGGCCTTCTCTTCGTTGGTGATAAGCCGTTCGTCATTGACTCTAAGTGGTGGAATGGGCTTGGGGTGAGACTTCAGCACCTTGGCAACCTTCCAGAATGGTCTGGAACGGTCGTCCAGGTTCTGAACGAGCCGCCCGAAACTCTCGTTCCGGATTGAGACCATTCTGGAAGCGATCTGCCGATTCAGATCGACCATTTCGTATTTACGCTGCAGATCCCCAGTCCGCTGAAACTGGCGTCTACGAACATTTCTGAGCCGAATCAAGAGTTTGGTGTGGGAATCAATTGCTTGAAACTTACCCCTCACAGGAACTCGTCGAACGCACTCTTCGTCAGCCACGGATATGGCTTGATGGAGACCCTCCAGGGCCCGGTCGATGTCATCCACTGTGTCGAGCGGTGGGTCGTCGTCGATGTGGCGGTCGACCACGCGTCGAAACTGGACCCAGTTGACTCGATGGTAGTCCTTCCGCTGGCACGGTGCAGGGGCCACGTTGTAGCCCAGCTCGGTCAGCACCGGTTGGTGGTCCGAACTCAGGTCGTTGACGGCAACCGGCTTGGCTAATCTGGTGTTTGCCAAGAACAGGTCCAGCGTCGATGGGTTGCCCGTCGGTGATGTGAAGGTTGGTTCGTCCGGAAACCAGACGGAATAGAGACCATGCTGGGAATGGTCGAATAGCAGGCGGCCGTTCTGGTTCTGCTGGTAGTTCCGCCAGGCCTCGTGCCGGGCGTTCATGCCGTCAACGAGCTTAGATACCTCATATTTATACCTCTAGCTGTATCAAAATTCCCGAACCAATCAGATCCCGTTTACATACGGTCTATCACGCTTCACGCTCATTTGATTCTTCTGATTTCTATTCCACACTAACTCTATCTACTACCATAAGTTCTTCTCAAAACTTGAGGGAAGTTCTTCTATGAACTTCAAAAACACAAGCAGCACAAAGCTGAGTCAGAATCTTGCAGCAATTTCGTTGTGCCTAAAATAGGTCATATACAAGTTGCCTCAACCGTTTAGCACCAAGTGCGCTGCTAGGGAAACTTCTTCGCAGAACTTCTTTCCCAGAACTTGAGAGGAGTTCTTGCCAGAATTTGAGGAAAGTTCGTCTCAGAGCTCCAGGGAACTTCCCTCCAAAACTTCAGGAAGGAACTTTTCTGAAGTTCTAGAAATTTTTTCCATAGACATGCAAAAAGTTTTTTCGCATAGCTCCAGGGAGTTCTTTCCAGAACTTTAGGAAAGTTCTAATAAATTTAGGAAAAGTTCTTCTAAAAACTTCAGAACCACAAGCAGCACAAAGCTGTGTCAGAATCTTTGTCGTGTATTCTTCTCAAAACATGAGCGATTTTTTATCCCAGAACTTGAGAGGAGTTCTTCCCAGAACTTAAGGGAAGTTCATCTCAGAACTCCGGTGAAATTCTCCCCAAATCTTCAGGAAGGAACTTTTCTTAAAACCTGGCAAGTTCATCCACAAACTCTAAAAAAGTTCTTCCCATAGCTCCAGGTAAGTTCTTCCCAGAACTTTAGGAAAGTTTTAATAATTTTAGGATGAATTCTAAAACTTTTAAAATCCCTGTAACCTTAGAGAAATTTCCCATTGGAGCAACAAGGACTTAAAATTCCAGAATTTCAACAGAGTTCCCACAACTTCTGGAAACTTCGATGGAAATCCCAGCTTCCTCAACGGGCTCGTCACAACTGCGTCGGCAATTACGGAAGTTTAAAAAACTAGAATATTCTTTTAAAAAATACAAAAGTTTTGTAAAACCAATTTTTTTGCATATTTCAGAATTTTTTAACAAACTTCTGGGATGTTTTGAACCATACAGAAGATTTTCAAGAACTCTAGGAAAATTGTGCAAGTTTCAAGATAGTTTAATAAAGTCTTGGGAAGTTCTGCAAACTTACTGTGACAAGTAAGTGAACTTCTGGTAATTCTACGTACTCTAACGAAATTCTTCGTAATTCAGAGAATTGTGCTAACTCCAGTAAAGTCTGGGCTTACTACCGGAGAATTTTGTGAACTACACGAAAACAAATGTGTGAATTCTTTAGAAGACTGCAAACATTATAACAGTACTACTCAGATAAATTTAGTAAGCTTCTTCTTCTTCTTCTTCTTCTTCTTCTTCTTCTTCGTCTTCTTCTTCTTCTTCTTCTTCTTCTTTTTCTTCTTCGCATTTCAAGCTTATTGCAAATCGCATATTAGCTTATTGCGTGCTCTCAACTTAGTGTTCTAGATGCACTTCAACATTTATTAATTGAGAGCTTTCGATGCCTGTACCATTTTTGCATTGTATAATTGTGTGGCAAGTCCAGTCATACTTCTATGCCCAGGGAAGTCAAGACATTTTCCAACCCGAAACATTCCTAGACTGGACCGGGAATCGAACCCAGCCACCTCCAGCATGGTCTTGCTTTGTAGCTGCGCTTTTACCGACTGAGCTAAGGGAGGCCTTCTAGACATCTTGTAGTTAAATAAATTCTGTATTATATTCTCTCAACATTGGGCCATCCTATTCAGTTTGAAATTTTGATCCCACGGTGAAGAAGTGCGAAATATTCCTCAATTGGTCTAAGTTCCGGAGTATTGATCGAATTCATCTCTTTGGGAATCACTGTGACATCATTTTCGCTGTGCCACTGTTTGGTGGAATTTGAGTAGTGGCAGCTTTCCAAGTCTGGACAGAATTGGCAATCCACCTCATGCTGCTCCAGAAAAGGCAGTAGTCTCTTCCGTTGGCACTCTTGCTGGTAAATGTACTGGTTCATGATCCCAGAATTAACGAACGTTTCGCTTTTCAGCCCACCACTGTAGATTGATTGCCAGGCAAGGAACTTTTTGGGAAATTTCGACTTCTTTTTGATTAAACATTCTTCCGGGGCAACCTTCCGGTCAACCGGTATACAGTTCCTGCCCAGGAATTTGATCGAAAACTGCCAGGAGCGGATAGACCGGGAATTTCGTTTCGAGCGTGCAGGTTCGAGTCGCGACGTGCTTGCTCCGGCGAAGCCTTGATGTAAACAAATGAACTTATCTTGACAACCAATGCCTACTGTATTTTTGTTGACTATAAGCTTCACTGAAATTTTGAAAAATATTACTCAAGAAGTGCCTTAATGGCAGCGATTTGAATGTTTCCGGATTTTTTTTGTTCAACCTATATACATATTAATACATTCGCTTTCGTATTTTTTAACAGCCTCAATAAAGATAATTTGATATTTCACTCGAAATTTTATCAAATAAATGTCCGAGAAACATATCTGATGGGTTTTGCGATGATCCGATCATTTTGCAAAATGTGTTTCTGCCATCTCTTTATTTTTTTTCAATATGGGCCACCTACCTCTGTGCCTCCAGACGAAGACGTACAATATACCATATGGTGAAAATAGCAACGCATTGAGCTTGTGTGGTTATCTTAAGAGAACTTCGATGAAGATTGGATCTTTTTCAAAAAAAATCACATTATACGTTGGACTAAAATGCGCAATTCTAATTAAATGAGATTTGTTGCTCAATTTAATTTAACATCAAATCATTGACAGATTTTCCCCCAACATAGTTTCCCAAATCAGACACTACGGAGTCTCCGCCATTCTTGTCACCATCCACGTTTCGTTAGAACTATTTCTCTTGCTATTCTGCCGAATGAGACAGAGGCAGCTGGATAATATTGCAAAATTTAATTAAAAATTGCATTTCATCAGCACGAAATGCCTCCCACTGCTGCCTAGGTAGATTCGCGTTTGACAATTTTATGTGCATGACCCGAAAAGAATGAATATTTCCTCATTTAAAGTCCTATCGTCATCGGGATAATACGTTACGGAAATGTGCCTAACCGACCGTGCTTCAAATTAGACTATCCTCTCTTTTTTTGTTTTTATTTTCAGTGTGTGGATCATGGCTGCGGTTGGAATAAGCGGTAATTTGCTGGTGCTATTCGGACGGTACGTGGTAGGGACCAGAAGTAGTCAGGCCCACGCTGAACATTCCCTCTACCTGAGGCACCTGGCCGCCAGTGATCTGATGATGGGAATTTATCTGGCGATTATTGCCACGGCTGATATTATGTTCCGGTGAGATTAAAGGGCGATACCGCATTGTAACTCTTGATTACATCGTGCTTCTGCTCGATCAGTCGACCGTAGTTGTGCTATTAATTGATTCTATTGTCTATTCCCGGGCGTAAACAGGGGACAATACATACTGCACGAGGAAGAATGGCGAACCAGTGGATTGTGTGCCTTCAGTGGTTTCCTTAGCACACTGAGCTGTCAATCGTCGACGCTGCTGCTGACCCTGGTCACCTGGGACCGATTGATTTCTGTCACCCGGCCACTGTACCAGCGTTCCGGCAGCAAAACACGTGTCATCATGCGCCTGGCACTGCTCTGGGGCGTGGCGGCCTCGGCGGCGGCAGCTCCCCTCTCGGCGACCGACTATTTCGGACCGCATTTCTACGGAAGCAACGGAGTGTGCCTTTCGATTCACATTCACGACCCGTACGCCATGGGCTGGGAGTACTCGGCCGGGCTGTTCATCCTTGTTAACACATTCTCGCTGCTGTTCATCGGGACGTCCTACCTGCGGATGTTGCAGGCGATCCGGGTGTCTCGAAACGAAACACGGAATACGCTCAACTGCCGGGAGAAGATAGTGGCCCGAAGGTGAGTTGACTCTTTGCTTTGCTATTGTGGGCTGTTCGGTGGGGAATGCGGGATGGGAGGATTTGCTGCTTTACTTTGCGCTACATTGCTATGCACGGGAGGAAATCCTTTCGAGGATTTTATTTGTTTTCATTTTCAAGTAAAAGTACAACAGGTAAAAAATGTGAACCGTAAACCATGGACATATTGATCACAAAACCATCAAAGATGGTTCATAAGGTTTCTGAAGTTGAAAAATAACAGCTTAAATAGTAAAGCATTATTGGACAGTCTACAAAGTATCTCAATTAGCCATTTAGAAATCTTTCTATTATCCACCAAAGATATGTTCGGAGTTGTCCCTTAAGGTCGCTGATTTAAGAGATGAACCAGCCTCTGGCTGAAAGTCTCGCCAATAAAGAAAAAAAAAGGTCGCTGATGGTGATTTATATGATTTCTGAAGTTTAAATAACTTCTAAGACCTCTTGCAACTACCCATAAATGTCTGAATTCAATATTAAGGTTTAGGAGTCTAAAATTGCCCTTTAATCTTTATGATTGAATTAACAATCCTCTGGAAAAGATGAAAGAAAGAAATGGCTAATAATTTACTTAAAGGCTGACTAAAAGCAAAGTTTTGGGAATCGAAAATCTTTGACAGTGGTTTGCTTACACTTCTATTGATGAATTTACGCAAATGTAAAACTGGCCATGCGACACCTAGTTTTCAGATATGCAATTATCAAACTGATGATGTACTTTAAAATATTCCATATGATTTGACGTCATTATCATTTTCACATCATCACACAATTCATCAATAGATAACAACTCTAGATAGAGCTGGAACTAGGGTGTATCAGCTTTTGTAAACAATGACATCTCTCGATGATTTCTCGCAGGCAAATCAACATCACGATCGAGTAGGGGAGGACTTACGCTACCCGATGGTGCTGTTTGTTTGTGTAGGCGTGCCTTGAATTCCTAGAAATCAACGAGAGAAGTCATTGCTTACAAAAGCTGTTACGCCCTAATTCCGGCTCTATCTAGAACTGGTGCAAGTTTGATCAAAGTAGTCGAACGCTGTCAGAAATAACGTCGAAAGGAACTCGAAAGAAGAAACATTATTGTGCACAAACACCTGGAAAATTCGGAGTGGTCGTGTTCCAAGCTGGCTAAAGTGCTGAAGATGCCGAAAACAACAGTTTGTCGAGTGCTCAAAATCTACAAGGAAACCCTGAGTGTGGAAAGGAATCAGTGGATCTACGAAAAATCTGGAACCAGGGATCGTCAGCTGCGCAGCAAGGTGCGTTAAAGCCAACCCCGGGTTTTCAATCCAAGATGTGGCCGGAAGGAACAACAAAAACTTTCAAACGGTGCGGAACATCCTTGCCAGGAGAGGATACAAGTCGTACAAAGCCAGTAAATATCCGAACTGGCACATGAAGCAGAATTCCGTGGCCAAAGAGCGTGCAATGCTCTTGTGCGACCGTGTTTCGACGAAACACAAGGGCTGCACTTTGATCGATGACGAAACATACGTTAAATTCGATTTTAAGCAGCTACCCGGTCAAAAGTTTTACATCGCGACTGAACGTGGGGACGTGCCGGGAAGATTCAAGTTCACGTTTGCCGACAAGTTCGCGAAGAAGGCCATGATTTGGCAAGCGATTTGCAGTTGCAACCTGAAAATGGAACCATTCGTCACATTCTCGACGATGACATCCCAAGTTTACACCGAAGAATTCCTGAAAAAGCGTGTATTGCCGTTCATCCGCAAGCATAGGGGCAAAATCATCTTTTGGCCTGATTTGGCTGGCTGCCACTACTCCAAGGTGGTTCTGGAGTGGTATGCTGCCAATAAGATCGATTTTGTCTCCAAGCTAATGAATCCTCCGAATCGCCCGGAATCTCGACCAATAGAAAAATACTGGGCAATTCCAAAGCAGCGTCTTCGACGAAGCGGCGGGGCAGTCAAGGACATCCACCAAATGCGGGCAAAATGGAAGAAATGCGCTGATGCCGTATCCGTTTCCACTGCGCGCGCAATGTTGCGCTCCATCAAGAGGAAGGTTCGAGATTTCGTTCGAACTGGGGAAATGTAACCATCTAATGCTGTAACTTTTAAGTTTTAATAAAAGTACTGCAAAGTAACCATTAATGAACTTTTTAAACTTATTGAATCGTGAATTACAGGTCACTTTGTTCGTACCAATTTACTTTTAATCAGCCTTTAAACATCATAACTTAAGAAATAACTCTTGAAGTTACTGCCCGTAAAAGTATAAAAGTCACATCTTTGCTTAATGTGAATGATTTCCCATAACTAAGGAATCAAAAAAATATATCAATTTGACGAAATCACAAGCGATCAACGCTATGTCAGAAATGGAAATCTTCTTATGATTTTATCATGACAAACAAACGATGATACACGTGTGTTAATGGGATTTTTTTGATTTGTCTTTTCTCGATTCCGATCAAATTATGTCCTTTACCGTGTATATTGTAACGATGCAGGCAAGCAATTTATCATTATACTTCTACAACTCCGATCAAGCTATATTACAGAGAAAGTTTATCGAAGTAGTAGAAGTAGTAGTTGGATGCGCAGCATTTAAAACAAAATTATCCAAAGTGTCGTGCAAATCGGAGAAGGTCGAGTCTTAATTTCTTTATTTTTTTTTTATCCTATGGAACTGGTCTCTTGTAAGCAGTGATGCAAAATATCATGACACTTGCGTGACACTCGTCTTCACATCAACCGACTATCACTGACAGATCGTTTTGTCACGCAGTGAGAGTTAGAGCCATGGCAAACAACAATCACCAGTAATGGTCGCTGCTCACAAGCAAAACGTTACACTCGCTACTGATGATGAAAAGCACAACGAAAACAGTGAAGACTTCTGCAGTACGATCATGAGAAAAAGCGAAACGACAGAAGAAAATGAAAACAATGCCTACGCATTCCAAGTTCGTCTCGGCAGGCGCGACTGTGTGAGTTACAAACAAAGCAGGCAACATGAAACGGAAGCTGTTGGGCTCACTCACATAAGCAAGCAAAGCAGCAACTGCTTGAAAACGAGCACAGGTGAGTGTCGTGATTTTCGGGAATGACCAGATCGGTGATGGATCACAACAGAAGACGACATTCATCAGTTGCTTTTTACTTCTTTCGTCAACTTGATGGATGGTCATGGAGAGAGCTTCAACGAGCACATTGATAGGAATGTACAAAGCGTTACTACCATCAGCTGTTTGGCGATCGTGATTGTGATAGGTCGCAACTCTGCTTGTAAGTTTAGATATGTTGCTCCATGTATCATTATAAAAACAAACGTTTAAAAAATGTCGCCACACTTAAAGAATAAATCTATATTGACCCGAGCATTCCCAAGCAGCATTACATGTTTAATCTAGGTTTTGAAGCATTCTTCAAGTCTAAATCATGGCTACAGCACCCTCATAAAACCATTATATTCGAAGAGTTTTAGGAGACCTTCTAGAAGTTCCGCGAATTACAGGGATGTCCAGAAAAGTACAAAGAAGTTCAGAAAACTTTAGAAATTTAAGAACTTCATGGAAATCCAGAAAACTTCAAGGATGTTTGAAGAAATTTCCAGAATTTCTCATTTATCTCTAGAGAAATGCGAGAACCTCAGGAAAGATCAAAGAACAGCATGGTAGTTCAACTGACTTCAATTAAATTACAGGACTTTCAAAGTAGTTCTGAGTAGCTCTGGATTTTCCAAACACTTTAGCAACGTTCCTAAAGTTTCAGGAAAATTGCGGAATTTTCACGGAAGTTCCATGACCATCGGACAAATTTTATGGGAAGTTCTGATAGCTTCGTCGTAGTTTCGAGAACTTGAGACAAATTGCGGGATCTTCTGCGAAGATCAAAGAACTTTAAGGCAGTCCCATTAATATAAAAAAAAACATATAAGAGAACTTTAAAGAATTTCCGAGATTTTTAAGGAAATCTAAATAAGTTAGGAGATTTAAGACTGTTTTATTATCTTTAGGAAAGTTTGGTGAACTTCAAGCAAGACAAAGAAACTTCAGAGCACTTGCAATAATTTCAGGAAAATTTCAAAAAACTATGGAAAATTCCAATAATTTCAGAAATTTTTCTAATTTTTTTAAGAATGGCAGCCATTAGGGCAGCTTACTGCATTAATATCAGAAAGATTGGCGAATCATTAAGGAAGTTCCGAGGATTTCTTGACAATTTAAGGAACTTCAGGGAAGGTCTTACAACCCAACAAACAATTTAAGCTGCAGATCAGCCTTGTTCAGCTAAAAATAAACCTAGTTCAGCTTTTAGCCTACGTAATTGTTCGATTGGAAACTTAGGGAAGTTTAGAGAAATTAAAAAATGTTCTGTGAGCTCCAAGGAAATTTCTGAAAGTTCATAAAATAGGCAGGAATTTTTAAAAAGTTCATTGCAATTCAGGGAAATCTAGAAAACATTAAGAAAAATCCACTCCATAGGAAATCTTTAAACTCCATTTATTATTCGGTTTAACTTCAGGAAAATAACGGGAACCTTACAGAAGTTCCGAAAATTTTCTAGAGATCAATAAAAACCCAGGAGTTTTTATATTACTTCTGAAATTTAACATAAATCCATAGAATACCAGTTGAGCTTAGGAAAGTTCCAAGAACTTCGAGGAAATTTGAAAAAAAAACTCAAGAGAAGTTCAATGATCATCCGAGAAAACTTCAGGGAAGTTTAGTTATGTTTAGAAGTTTAATCATTTTAAAGCATGTTCCGGGAATATCAAACGTTAAAAACTTCAGAAAAATTGCAGAAACCTCTGACAAGATCAAGGACATCAGGAACTGAACAGTTCCATGAATTTAAGGAAAATTGTGGGAGCTTTGAAGAAATACTGAAAACTTCAGGGAAGTCACGAGAATGTCAAGAAAGTCCAAAGTCTAGAGAAATTTTCGAAAGTTTAGAAATCTTTATGAAAGCTACGTAAACTCCAAGACAGTTCCAAGAATTTCGTGAA